GGATCGCAGCTACTCAGACCAGTTGCAAAAGGCCACAGTCTGGTAGGCCTTGCAGCTTTTACACACCTTGTAGGGCATAATTAACAGGTTTCTTCAGCCAGGAGAGATGTGACAGATTCCGATGTGAAATATTTACAGGTCCCACCAAGGCCTTCATGTCCTTAGCATAAGGACAACCTGGGCAGATAGAGAATATGGTTGCTTTGGACCAAAATTATGTACACCACATTCCCCTCTCCCCCTTCAGCTGCGTAGCCTACATACCTCTTTTCCCTCACACTTTTTTTTTAAAGATGACTTAATTTTTTTAATGTTTATTTTTGAGAAAGAGTCAGCACACGAGCAGGGGAGGGGCAGAGAGAGAGAGAGGGAGACAGAGAATCTAAAGCAGGCTCCAGGCTCCGTGCTGTCAGCACAAAGCCCGATGACCCGATGTGGGGCTTAAACTCAAGAATCCCAAGATCATGACCTGAGCTGAAGTTGGACGCTTGACCGAGTGAGCCACCCAGTCACCCCACCTCACACTAAGTCAGCCCTGACTTTGATGATGAAATGTAGGATCTGTCTCTTTATCTTCCTAGCCAACAGAAGGCACTGTTTGCAGTCGCTAGGAAATCCAGCAGTTCCTTGCGGAATGCTTTGGTGATGGGAACAATGAGCTCAGAGCAGCAGGAGGGGTGCCCTGGGCAATCCTCACATCACCTGCCTGAGCCAAAGCCATGCAGACAAACACTTCCTTGTGCTGGCCTTGTGTCACTCTAAAGCATCTCCACCCCTTTGCACATCCAGCTGCGACATTCTTCAAGAGTGTTCTGTCCCTCCCTGTCTTGCCTCCCAGCACCCAGGGGCTGGCCATTCCCACTGACTGACAAGTGCTATCATTGCCTTTCCACCTTCCATTCTCCTCAGATCCCAGGTCCACCCAGTCAGCAGTACTTGTGTGTGTGTGTGTGTGTGTGTGTGTGTGTGTGTGTGTGTGTGTGTATGTGTGTGTGTATGTAGTTGGCCCATGGTGGGAGGAACCAAAGGAATGAGGTAAAAAGAAATACTTACTTGGCATCATTATACTCTGTCCTGACCCACTCTTTGTTTTTTCCTTTGTCGCAAGTTGTCTGTGGCTGTCTTCTTGGGCTAAACTCAGATTTTGCAAGTAAAGAATTTGTGCCAGTGTGTCACCTTCCAAACTGATAGAACAAACTGAGATGTTATCCAGAAGCAGCATGTCTCCATGTGTTGCTTCAGGTGGTGAACCGGAGAGGAGGTGGTACCTAGTGAGTGGGGAGTGGACATTCCTGTGCTTGGCTTCCAGATCCGAGCACGGGCAGGGGGAATGGCTTCCATTTCTTTTTAAAGAGTGAAGCAGAAAGAATGCATTATGGGACAAGTAGCTGAAACTTGAATTACTAAGTGTTTTACTTGGCAATCATGGATCTTTGTTCCAAAGGCTGAAAACTGGAGAAGACTTTTTACAAGCTCAAAAATTAAACAAGGATAAATTTTAAGCAGGCTAAGATTTCGGCTCCACTAGAGGTGACATTCCTATTTTACCTGGTAAGACAGCCCCTGTTTCTCCCTTGGGTGACCCTGCGTGAGAAAAAGCAAGCAAGCTGAATCAACTTAGTCATGCTGGTGGTAGGGAATGAACCTTGATTTGCCTAAGTGGCGATGTATCTACTCTTTCTTCACTTTATGAATTAAATGAGTGTGGCACAGTCACCACCACAAGGGGAACCTGCTTCTTACTTGGATGCCGTGAGCTTCTCCTTACATCTTCAGGAAAGAGTGTGATAACCTGGATGAATACATGATGACCCTAGAGGTCAGCTCAGCATTTTGTACCTGCGTCATGTGTGGGCAGTGCCAGGTGCTGTGGCAGTGTGGGTAGCAAACATTCATAGGTCCTGCCAACTAGGAGTTGTTTTACTCTGGGTTAAAATCAGCTTTTAATTCATTTATTGGGAATCAGGTACCTAGTGCAATGAAGTTAGGTGACTGTCTTCCCTACCATTGGAAAATTGTCTGCAGAATATCTCAGGGTCCCAGGTCTGTAAAAGTGCTAATGTACATATCAAGAATTGATATTTTGGGGCTAAATACAGTATAAAATATCCCTTTACCCTTAAGAATATTAGCAACAAATAAATGAATTTGCGAAGCCATGTCCCTAGTTCGTGACTGTATTTATTTTGTGTATGCATAGGAATCTGTCTTGGCCTGTATTGTGTAAAGTGTGGTTTTGTGTATACATAGGAATCTTTCTTGGCCTGTATTTTATAAAGGCTGGATTTGTATTTGTTTAAAAGCTTCCTGTTTGGGGAGAGATTCAGGAACGTTTCAAGTCTGTTATAATTTTAATACTGTCTGTACCTTCATGCTTATGATCCATATAGAGGTTAGAGAAGACCCTTTCAGCTTTGATTGTTCATAGCATTTGTCAATAAGATATGCCTCTGATTATTTAAGGTTTTGTGTAAAATATTCCCAGTATCTTAATTATGGTAAACTACTGAAATTCTGAAACAATTTGCTTTTAACTTTTTTTCTTGCACACATACTCCTAAATGAAGAATCCTTTTTTCTTTTACTCGAAATTGCATTTGTGATCACTATTTTGTAAAGACTACAAGTCTTTACAGAGAGTAGGCAAACACAGGATGAATGTCATATAAACTTTTATTGTATTTTTATATTTTTGATAGTGACCAAACAAGTATATTCCATTTGCCAGTTTTATTTAGACATTCTTTTTAAGATTTTTTTTTGAGTCAGTTTTTTTTTTTTTTTTTTCCTGAGAGAGAGTGCATGTGGGGGAGAGGGGTAGAGAGAGAGAGAGACAAAGAATTTTAAGCAGACTCCATGCCTAGTGCATAGCCTGACACGGGGCTCGATCCCATGACCCTGGGATCATGACCTGACCTGAAATCAAGAGTCAGACACTCAGTCGACTAAGCCACCTGGGTGCCCCTGAATCACATTTTTAAAATCAGTACTTTTCAGCCTTTCTAGGTAGACTTTAAATAACTGAAATAGTTTTGAAATTTTCTTCTGTTTTTCTTTGTGTTAAATTTAAATTGATTTTGCTTATAGTAGTATAGTAGTCATTCTGTGTATTTGTTAGGAAAATTCTGGTGGTTTTTTTTTTTAATTTTCTTCACGAAATACCATTTTCTAGTTTTTCTTTAAGTCACATATTTCACCAGTATCCCTATTTAAGATAATCATTAGGTCAATATTTGCATTGATAGACATTTATTATTCAAAATTTTCTTTACATACATAAACACCAATAATTGAGTGTCAAGAGAAAATCTTCATAAGTGATTTAAATCAAATGCTAAATGTAAAAAATAATACAGGTGGCCAGTTTTCTGGCAGTTAACTCATATTTCAGTTAATTTGCCCAAATTAACAAATAACTTTGCTGAGATTTCCAGGGTATAAATCTGTCATTTATAATTTCTCTTATTAATGTTAGCAAGTTGGTATGTTTAATATTCCTGTATTAAAATGAAAGAAGACATTCATTTGAATTAACACTAAATAAATTATACAGTGTCTTTTTAAAACAGTCATGCTATCTGATTTAATGATTGTGAATTTAATAGGTCAAATACGGTTCTTAATAGATGAGTTGATAATATCACAATCCACCTTTATAATTAAGTATCAAGAGTCTGTTCTTAATCAGCAACTTCTTTAAGGCTGAGTAAACATGATCTTAATTAAACTCCCAGATAATGCTAAGGGATGTTGATTGTTCCAGTAAGGAAAATAAAATGATGCAGCCTGACCTTAACAAATTATAAATATGGGAATGTTGATAAATGATAATGAGCAGCAAACATTGAAGAGAGAGGATTGGTTCCCAAGTCAATATTGTTGAAAGGAATTGAGTTTGGTTCTGAAATGTGTTACTTGAATATTTAGAAACGTTCCTTTCTGTGTCCACAACACCCAAGTTAGACGTCAGGTGAAAATTTCTCTTTGAAGAGCCTGTTATAACAGGTATATTCTGAGTTAAGGAAGACATTACACTAAACGTTTAATGGTGGTGGAGGGCAGCCCTAGTGTAGAAGGGTAGAATCACAGTGCCCTGAACCTGCCGGGTTTTATTCCCCTTTTTCTCACTACTAAACTGATAATAGAGAGTGAAGCATCAGTCTGTACTAAAGGAGAGGCAGGTGAAAGGGAGATAATATTCTCCTCATCAACCAGTTTTGCATGTGTCTTATTCTTTGCTGCTTCTGAGACTTACTTTGGAATCAAGATAAGCATTTTATAACTTTGGCCTGGCAGAAACAGGAAAAAGTAGCTGCCGTGTGCCTATAGGTAACAGTTTATTGAGTGGGTACTGGGATCAAAACAGTGGGTCATGTGCCTCTGGCAAAACACTTTCACTCTTACTTTAATACCAAGTGGAATCTGTTTTTATGATTCCAAAGTGTTTACCTTAATAAGGAATTTGAATATAGTATACAAGATGAAAAATGAATCAGTAGTGAAATACCTATCTCTTCGGCATCAGCTGTTCTGTTGACAAAAGGCACAAATAGGAAATTTGTCTAAATAATTAGATTTTTAATTAGTGCATCATTGTAAGATTAATGTCATCGCGCTTCATTGCATGTAATTTTGTATTAGGAATTTCATGTCAACAAAGACGCTACCTGTGGTTTGTTGATTTGAATCCTTAATTTATCACTTGGGTGTATGGCATGTCAGCTATTTGCAGTCAGGAGTGGAAAGACGGCATTTGATTATAACCTCACTGGTGGTGCGGAATATTGATGGTGTTATGCTATATGAATACATTATATTTTCTAATATTCAAGAGGCAGCCACCCATCAAATATTAGTGAGTATGTATTAACTTGCAGAAGTTGGAGCAACAGCAGCAGCAGACAGGTTGCTCAACCTCTGGTGTATGTTGAATATACCTGGACATCACTGATGTTATATTTGCTGTTTGAAACTTTGTTTTTGTTTTTCCTTTCTGACAGTTGCCGAACAAGCAACCGGAAAAGCTTGATAGGCAATGGACAGTCACCAGCATTGCCTCGACCACACTCACCTCTCTCTGCTCATGCAGGTAATTAATTACCCTTTCTTAAGTTTTGTTTTACTTTTTGCTGGCTCTTAAAATAATCCAAGCATTTTGAAATTCAAGTGTGCCTTTATATCATACTTTGGTTTTCCTGTTGCTTTATCACTACATTATTCTCGCTGCTAAGTGAGCCTAAGCCTCATCCTCTCTTGCAAAGTGTTTGGACTCTGAAATTAAGAATGTCTTTGTATATGGGATCCTTTTCGAGTTATTCGTTTCTCCATTTCTAACTGTGTGGATGATGCAAGCCATGTTTCCATGTTGGGACTGTCTTTGCGGAATGCATGTGTGTTCATTCACATGAAGAGAATTAGCATTAAGAACTATAGAGGAGGAAAAATAATTTTTCCCTACCTTTCTAAGTTCTCCACTGGGAATCTCATAACCAAAGACAGATTAACCAGAGAAGAGCAAACACATTTACTTAATAGAAAATTTCCATGACACAGGCATAGAGGTGACTAACTTGAGTCAATTAATGCTAGGTCTGATGAAGAGTAAAACGTGCAAAGATAGGACAGAAGTGAACTAGGTCTAGTAAACTGGGGCACATTTAGCAAGGGCTCTGTGTTCACAGTCTTCTGTGTCCCTTGTCTGTTCCTTTGTTCAGGGTATAGGGAGGACATCTCTGACATGAGGACTTGATGATGTGCTTTCGGTCCAGGTCCAAAGAGCCTTGCTGCACATGCCATTTCTAATGTTTGTTTATTTTTGAGACAGAGAGAGACAGAGAGCACGTGCGCGCGTGCGAGCGGGGGAGGGGCAGAGAGAGAGGGAGACACAGAGTCTGAAGCAGGCTCCAGGCTCTGAGCTGTCAGCACACAGCCTGATGCGGGGCTGGAACTCACAAACTGTTAGGTCATGATCTGAGCCCAAGTCAGACACCTAACCGACTGAGCTCCCCAGGCGCCCCTGCATATGCCATTTCTTGTATTTCTTCAGCTTAAAATATTTAGTTTGTCAAGATGCCCTATTTTGATACCATGGGTCTTAACCTCCAACAGAACTGTTCAGCATGTTTTCTCCCTAAAGTTGAACTTATGTATTACTTACATTTGCTCTTAAAAACAATGCTGCTGTAAGCAGTCTAGAATGTACCTTGTATGTGTACAAGAGTTTGTCTAAAGTTTCATCTGGCAGTGGCATATATAACTTACTTGTTACATGTATAATCTTTATAGGTACAATGAAGATTTAAGAGGCGAGACCCTTGGCCACAAGTACTAATTTTTTTAAGTTTATTTATTTATTTTGAGGCGGGGGGGGGGGGGGGGGGAGAGAGCGAGATTGAGAATCCCAAACAGGCTCTGCACTGTTAGCACAGAGCCCACCGTGGGGCTAGAACTCACAAACCGTGAGACCACGACCTGAGCTGAAATCAAGAGTCAGACACTTAACCGACTGAGCTACCCAGGTGCCCCTGCAAATACTAATCACAAGGAAGGTATAGCCATATTTGAAAAACCATGCAGTGAAGACTTGTTGGTATTGTTGTGGGTTTTTGTTTGTTTCTGCTTTTTTTTTTTTTAATTTTTTTAAAGTTATGTCCATGATGGTGCAAGGAAGAGAAGGGTTAATTCCAACCAGGACAGTATGGGAGAGTATGAAGGAGCCACTTGATTGAAACGTTAAAAGCCAGGCAAGACTTGGGCCGGCAGAAATGGGGTGAGAGAAGGGGAACCACCAGTGTGGCTGCTGTGGGGTATTGTGTGTGTTTGATTGTAAGAGAATATAAAGGTGGGAAGAGAGATGAAAGTCAGAGAGTATAAGGGATTCTGATTTTGAGCGCCTTTCAAGGACTTTGGGGAGGATCTGTGTTTTGGGAAGCCGTCTTCAGGATTGTGAAGGATGATGGGTGCAAACGATGAGTGATTAAGCCTTAAGTCATTGCCCTCTGGTGGGACCTCTAACCCTGCTGGGCTTTCCGATGATCCTCATTTCCTATTTAAAAGGAGGACTGTATCTCTTTCCCAGAGGCAGTCCTTTTGCTCAGGGATGGTTTCCAGGCAAGAGTAGGAGTTACCTATAGCATGTTTGGGGAGAAGAAAGGAGAGAGAGACATGGTCGACCCTTTGGAATGAAATTTGTTTTCCCTTTAGTAATAAATAAAAGATGGCAAAGTAAAAAAGGCGAAACATGTACTGATAAAATGGTGATCCTGGAGCAAAATCACTGAGGTCCGGAAATGCCACTCTAGACAGTCCTAGAAAGCATATTCTAGACTGTTCACAGCAACATTGTTTGGAATAGCTGAACATTGGAAGCAACCTAAATCGCCGTCAGTTGGAAAACGGATAAATGAGTTGTGTCATACTCGTCCCAGAACGTCGTGCATGCGTATCCACGTGGCCGAAGCTCAGAGGGCTGGGCAGAAAGAGCAGAGGTCGCAAAAGAAAATTGGTGAAAACATTCGTGAAGGTTGGCATCAGGCTACAAAGAATATTTTGTTTAGGGATATATACACACACGCGCACACACACACACGCACGCACACAAACATGTATGTGTATGTATATATACCTTTCTTGTAAGAGTCTAAAGGAAAACGTGATAAGTTTAAAGGCCACTTTCGTGACAGTAGTTACTTCTGAGAAGGTGCAAGTAGGGTATCATTGGGGGGAGAGATAAACAGTTGGTCATACTGTATTTCCAAAGCTGCTTGAGGGCTACCCAGCTATATATATCATTACCATTTATACCTTGGAGATTTCTATTACATTATTGTCCTCACAGCACAAGGTGATAGAGAGGCAGGCAAGGCCCAGTACCTACCTGGAGGCTGGACTTGGGTCTCTACATTCCTCGTGCACGGTGCCTGGCAGTGTATACAAGTGCTAAGTATATCACAAATTTTATTTCTGCATAGAATTCAATGGCGATGAAAAAATTGAATCCTGCTCCTCTTGGTAGTGTTCTGTCGTCATTGTACCCTACGTTATGGGCCTGTTGATTGGTCTCTTATTGCTGTGATTTTCTTCATTGCTAATATTGAGATTTGAGAATACGTGGTGAAGACTTTAATGATCCTTTTAATTATTCTTCTTTTTCACTGTGTAGACTTGGCGTGAATTCTTTTGTCTTCAAACATCGTTTTAGTATTAAATCAGAGGAGTGGGCAGAGAGAAGCCTGTCTTTCAGGTTCTGAGAGCATTTTTCCTTAGGTTGTAGAGCCAGTAGGCTTTTATTTGCTCAGAATGAGCTCTGTCAGACTTGTTTTGTGAGAAATGGCATTTATGCAGACTGCTAGTTTCCTATTTATGTATAATAAGGGGAGAAAATATAAATTTGTTTTAAAGCTTATTTATTTTGAGAGAGAGACAGCGAGTGAGCACAGGAGGGACAGAAAGAGGGAGAGACAGAGGTGCCTGGGTGGCTCAGTTGGCTAAGCGCCTGACTTTGGCTTATGTCATCATCTCGTGGTCTGTGAGTTCAGACCTTGTGTCGGGCTCTCTGCTGACTCCTCAGAGTCCAGAGTCTGCTTTGGGTTCTGCATCTTCCTCCCTGTCTCTCTGCCCCTTGCCTGCTTGTGCTCTGCCTATCTCTCAAAACTAAGTTAAAAATAAAGAAAGAAAGGAAGGAAGGAAGGAATCCCAAGCAGACTCCACACTGTCAACACAGAGCCTGACACAGGGCTTGAACTCACAAACCCTGAGATCATGACCTGAGGTCAAGAGTCAGACACTTAACCGACTGAGCCACCCAGGTGCCCCGAAAATGTACGTAAAATAAAAACCTCCTGTCTTGATGATATGAATGCCTGCCGATTTACCATGCCTTTTTATCTCTTATTGCTACCTCCTGTGTCATGTGTTTAATACACAGAATGCCAGGTGAGAGTTCCTAAATGTCTTTAGGAAAAAAAAAAAAACAAGAGAAATTAAAAAAAAAAAAAAAACAGTAAAGAAAAGAAAAACTGCCATCTCTCTGTGCTTTCTGACCCAAAAGATAAAGTTATACTTTCTCTCTCTCTCTCTCTCTTTTTTTTAAAAGGTTGGTATTATGTGAATGAGGCCACTCATCACTGGCACATGAATTAATACAGATGAACTGGTAGAGAAGAGAACATGAATTTATTCGTGTGGCTGTGTCATTTGTGCTCTAGGGAAAAAGATACTGGCATAGTCTTCTGGAGCTTATCTCTAGAAACAAAATAGTATTTGTTGAGAGCCAGGGATTCCTAAAAGAGCAGTGAATGGGAGTCCCATTAAAAAAAGAAAGGTAGAAAATCACAGGCTTCTCGTTCCAGGAAGATTCTAAGTATGAAATATAATCCAGAAGCCCCAAAGGAAAAGACTCATGTATCTCTCCTAACATGAAAATTTCTCTGTAATCAACAAAATCAAAAGAAAACAAAGTGTGAAAAATATTTTGATGCCCATAATTGATGAATATCTGATTGCCTTCATGCACAAAGAGCTTGTATAAATTGATGTGAAAATGGCAAATGCACCAGGAGAAAAATGGGCAAAAGATGTAAACGGCGTGTCACAGAAAAAAATTGAAATGTCTCCCCCAAAAATATGAAATGATGATTCGTGGTGATCATAAGAGAAATGTGAACCAGAATAATTAGAGTACCATTCACCTAGCATACTGTCAAAAATTTTATGAAATGGACAGAATCCAGTGATGGCAAGGTTGTGGAGAAGCAAGCCCTTCCACATGACTTAAGCGTTGATGTGAATCGGTGCAACTATTTTGGTTAGCAGTTTGATCTGTTGGTAAAAACTACAATTGCATTTACCTTTTGTCCTAGTACATTCATCTCTAAGAATTTATCTACTGATAATCTCACAAAATAACAGACAATCACAAGTCTGGCTACTTGTAAATAGCAAATGGAAAGTTAAGTTGTTACCACTTTATCATTTCACATGTTCTTCAGTAGGGGACCAGTTTCGTAGAAAATGATTGAGGCATATAATCCAGTGGTTTATATGGTTGTTACAAAGAATGAGATAGACTTTTTTTGTTCTGATACTACA